AGTTATAGGATCTCTAGTCTACATTATGAAAAAAACCAAAATGACTAAAGAAAGAAGAAGCATGTATATACCCAGCACAGAGCCACACCCATAACTGGCGTGAATCCTTGTTAGTGGCGAGTCCCCAAGCCGTTGCAAACATGCAATTTTCGAATCCCTTGAAGATATCAAGATTAGAAGCTAATCTAGATACCAAGTAGGCAAATCGCGCTTATATAGCAAAGTCGATTTGATAATTTTTAATGAATCCGATATAGAGATTGAACTATAGTAATCACTTAGATTTTTACAAAGGATTTTAAAAGGATTGATAAGCTCTTTAAGAAAGCAAAGTTTCTAGAGGAACTGTTTGGGACGTTAAAGTTTATCTTTCTAAGTCGGCATATGCAGGTCGGTACAGCCATTCATTGGCTTAATTAAGATAGATTTACGTTTTTCAAGCAACGGCAAGGCTAGCAAAAGCACTATATTTTCGTATGAGGACCACACAATAATCGCATGTTTATGTATTGGTCTCACTAAGCTTACATATAGCATTTTCGTAATGCAACGGCTACTAAACGCCTGATAAAACCAAGCACTGACCCAGCTTCATTTACAGAGAGATCAATATGCAAATGAAAACGCAGCTTATGATCGAATAAAACCTCCAAGTCCGTGAACGAATCTACATTTTCCAATTTTTATAAATTAATAAAGTAATCAGTAGTGAATAGAGCCATCCTTGAGAATGAAAGCTTCCGACAGTCTTTTAAATTATATTTTAAACAAGTTGCCTAAATCAGATTGAAGCAGCTACGAATGCGATTCGAAGGAAAAGGGGGAAAACGATTCAACATCGTCGGCGCGCATTAAGATATGGTTGTACTTAATCACCGAAGGGACATCATTGATGTACAAGCTGAACAGAAAGGGTCCTAAATAATTAACTTGAAAGACACCCGACATCGCTGAAAATTAGCCATAGGTGATAGAGTTAAACAGTAACTGTATCTATCCGATCTACTATGGAGATAAGGATTTATCCATTTCAATAATTATAAAGAGAAGTCAGAGGCCGGGGGTTTAAAGATCAATAATTTATGGCTAACGCCATCATGCGTCAAGCGCTTTACTAAAATCAGTGGATACGACATACGTGCGGCAGCCAAGTCATTACCCATAAAGTGTAATAGCAAATAATTGCACATTCGCCTTTAACATCAGAAAATGGGCGGCCAAGTGCCACAATTCGGCCATAATCGAATATGAATTTTTTAATTCGTTTTTATTGCGTGTAATAATAATAATATATATATATATATATATGTATATTGTTGATCAGGATCGAGTTCCGAATCGATTCAAGCATGTCCGTTTATGCGTCTGTATAATATTTGTTGTAAACATTCATCTGACCCACAAAAATTCGGATTCCGCCTATAAATTTACAAAGAAATTTGAAAATAATTCAAATCGGTCATAGGACACGCCCACAATTCGACAAAAACGGAGAGAATTTGTTGTCCACCGTGCGCTTTTTCCTCGCTAGTTATAAATTTCACAGATACATGATAAAAATTTCTCCTTTTACTCCATAAAAATGGAAAAAAACACCCACACCCATCCAGTTGTGTGATATTTTTCTTCTTTTTTTTTTTTTTTTTTTTTTTGTCTTTTTTTAATTAACGGTGGTGGGTACAAGAAATTCGGTCGCAAAAGAATCTAATTTTCTTGCTTAAAACATAAATTAAAATAAATAAGATGTCAACGAGTATAGTCGTGATAAATGGGAAAATTTTTGAGATTTTGTGCCTGCTTTGTGTGATGTAATTAATGCCTTGTGGCAATGGTTGCTATGTAGCGAAATCACTCGGGGTGAATTTACAGCTTTGTACAAAAAGGTTTAATGACAAACTAAAAAACAACGGACAAACAAACAAAAAAAAACAAAATTGCATTAACTCAAATAATTACGTCATTGTTCATTTGGCATTCGGATTGTAGATTGTCTCTCAATGCTAATTAATTGTTTTAAAGTTTTCATTATAAACTTTTGGAACCTTTTTACCTCTCTCTTTTGGAGCCCGTTTTATAAACACGGTCGATTCGATTTAAGCTTGTCTCTCCGTCTGTCTTACCCGCGACTAGGGTGTTCTTATATCCATTAAGTATGTCAAGTATGTGCTTTTATGTTTCTCTTGCATGTATTTATTATTCTCATAATTTAACGAATGGATATCGAAAAGAAGCTTATACGTTATAATGTACACAGTAGTGTGTCATGATACTATACGCTAAAAAGTATTCAATATCGAAAAATCTATCATCTTAGAATTTGGAAATTGCTTTGGAAATTCGACTTTGATCGATATCGAAGTTTGCCTTCGTAAAGAGACAAAGCTTTACGATCGTAAACGTGAATCGCAGCAAAGGACAGATATTGTTTACTCACCTCATACGAAATATATATTAGGACTTCTTTATCGTCGGATCGTTGAGTATTTTTGAATATGGTAGAAATCTTGAAAAAATCCAACACCCTTCATATAATACGTGCAAAAATTAAACATTTATTATAATTTTATTCAATTTTTTTGTTTTTTATTTATACGTATTTTAAATTATTTAATTTTTTTTTTTTTTTCGGTATATAATTATTATATTAGATATAATTTTATTTAGTTTTTATAAATCGTTTATATATATATACAATACAAATAATGCTGCTTTTCTCCGCAGGTATTGCAATGCATCCAAAGTTTTCTTTTCTGATTTTTTTTATAATGTTTGTTTGTTTGTTTGTTTGTTTGTTTTTTTTTTTTTTTTTTTTTTTTGTATTTTTCATTTTAAATTTGATGTATTCAGCTACATTATTACAATTGTATGGGTGTTCTTTTTTCTTTTTCTGTTTTTTATTTTTTTTTTAGTTTTTTATTTTTATTTTTGTTGAAAATATTTGAAAAAAAGGTAAAACGAAAATAGAAAAAAACATGATAACGTTGTGTTGTATGCTAATACGTAAATATATACGTCAACTTAAAGAGCATATGAATAACATTAAAGTGTAATATAATATCTTATGACAAATACATACATGCACATATACAAAAATTAGTATTACTATCAATTTTTTTTTTTTTTTTGTATTAAGTGATAGTATCGTATATTTGTGTTATGAAGTGAAAAAGTATTCTTGTGTATTAGATGTTGTTGTGATAGGTGACTGATTTTTTTCAATTACTAATAAACTAATAATCATAATAAACATACACGTGTGTTGCGTGTATTGCGGTAATTACATTAATAAAAACGAGACTGATGTTCATCAAAAACTCTAACTACCCACACTATCGAAAGATGTCCCGGGCGGGTCAATTAAGAGATATTTAATCTATAGCATTAACAAATCGTACTTTCTTTTTCTTTCTTCTCTTTCCTTAGTACCGATATTCATATTACATACACATGATACCTTAAAACATCAGATTTAAAAAAGGGAAAAAACTGAAGTGAATTTTTTTATCTACATCATATTCCTTTAAATAATGTTTAAGCCAAAAAACAAAAAAAACCAAATTTTTTGAGCAACGGCGGCGGCAAATGCTTAAAAATTTGGTTCCATTGCTAAAAAAAAAAAAAAAAAAAAAAAAAAAATAAAATTAAAAAATTAATTTTATTTTTAATATCTAGATTTCTTTTTTTTTTTTTAATCTTTTTTTTATAAATATATAATTGTTTTCAGTGCATACAAAACTGTAAAACTAACACTAGTTTCATTTTAGGTTTAATTTCTTTTAAATTTCATTTAAGTGTTTATTCTTTACAATTAAGATTAACAAATCAGAACAAAAATGAAAATGAGAAAATTCCAAAGAAAATAGAAATGGATAATAAACATCTTTTTAAATAATACCATAAACTTATTCGCTCTTATAATAATTAATGAAAACTCTAAAGAAACTATTTTTTTATTATTTTTTTTTTATTTTTTTTTTTTTTTTTTATCTTTTAATTATTATGAAATCACAAAAAAGTTTTGGAATATTGAATTTTTTTTTATACTATTTATGGTTTTTAATGATTTAAACTACTATATACACACACATCAGCATCAGTAAGCATCGATATGCTTACAAAGAATAATAGAATGTATAGTAAATCTCAAAAACTTATATTTAGTGTCTCTAGCTTTATAACAACATTGCTAATCAATAATAATAATGTAGCGGTCACGATGATTATAATGATAGTAATAATGATTACAGGGAGGTAAGGATCTAGTGGGAGTGGGAGACTGTCTATACATGCAATGTTGTCGTTTATTTTAAAACTTGTTTATAATTTTGTTTTTCTTTCTTTTTATTTACAAAAGTTTCTTCTTTGTGTTATCATTTTTCTTAAGGCATATTGCTTGCTTAAACGGTAAATTTTCGGTCTCTCAATAGTAATAATAAGACAGTATTATCGTACAAAAACAAAGATTGGGCGGCTTTTCTTTGTTTTTTGTTTTTTGTTTTTTTTTAAACTTAAGTTCATATACTACTATAGCTATATCTATAAAAAAAAAAAAAAAATAAAAAATATTAGATTATTACCTAGTTTTTATGTTGTTCCTCCTAACAAATCACAAAATTGTTTTAATATTTAAAGAAAAACTCAAGGAAATAAAAATTTCATTTGAAGGCAGGCAGCCATATAATATCTGTGACTTATGTATTAACTGGTATGTTTTCATTTTATTTAAGCCCGAAATTAAATGTTAAAAAATTTTTATTTTAATATTTACACATCTTCGGTTAGTATTTTCTTGCAGAGGTATCATTAAAAAATTTCTCAAGGGCCTATGCAAGGAGTGGTGTTCGTTATTGTAATTAATTGCTGTCCTATACATATATGAATAATGCAACAATGGTCATCGCGGTTAAAAAAAAAAAAATAACGAAAAACTATGAGAAAAGTTATTTGCAATCAAATATTGATATATATATATATATATATATATATATATATTTTTTTTTTTTTTTTTTTAAGTTTTTACAATACTTTTTTCGTAGTTTGATAATTGCATACTGACTTCTTTGGATTGAAATTTATTATTATTTCATGCACTTGCTTGCGAAGGGTTTTTTTGCTTCAAAATTTTATATATATATATATATGTGTATTTCGAGCGAAACTATATACAACAAATGCACAAAAAGAAGGAAAAAAAAACAACAAAAAAAAATTTCCCAAGTTATTCCAAGATTTCAAAAATTTTTTTGCCTCGACAGACAAAGTGCCTCACGTTGCATTCAGATGTGCTTAGACTTATTCTTATTCTTATTCCTTTCCCATATATACATTTCTCCTTCATCATATGTTTTTGTAACACTATACGAATAAAATAAACTTTCCATGTTAAGTCCTTAATATATTATAAAAAATTTATATAATATTTTTTATGACTAAATTTTAATTAGAATTATTGAAGATTGAGGGATGACAGGATTTTATATACATAATCATTTATATATGTAGATTGGTTTACACACTAAAGCTGCATATTCATTCATATTTACTTTTGCGATTTTAAAGTTAATGTTTCGTCTGAGTACTATTTAAATTATTTACATAAGCTTTACACATTAGTTTTCTATTTGTCATTCGTTTTCCCATTTTGCTTTGTTGTTAAAATAGAGATATTAATAAAAATGTAGATTAATAAATTAAAAACGCGACCTATTTAAAAAATAGTTGTTTGTTGTACCTCTAAAAGTACGACTTTTTCACTTCATCAACATCAATCAAAGCTGTTCTGTTTAAACAAGAAGAAAATTGAAATAAAATCTCTGGTGGGGAGAGAAAAGAAAGATAAGTAGCTCGAGTCAGGGGCTAATGGCTTTATGTTTTAAAACACCCCGGGAGAGTAATTTACGATTTCTTGTTTAATAGTAACGTTGCTGTTGTGTTTGTTGCAGCGGTAGATTATTTACATTAAGTCTGCCGGTATCAAAAAACTGAGCCGACGCTGATAGCTAATTACACTAAAGTTGTTCCACGAATTTGGTTAGCTGATCTGACGCATCCGAAACAGGACCTCCAGGGCCACCAACTACACCGCCCACACCGCCAACACCAACATCTTGCGGTACTACGGGCAATGGCGATTGATGCGGATGCAAACCACCGTGATTGTGTAAACCATCATGAGGTCCTTGAGGGGCGGGCGAATGACTCATTACGTGATGAGGAGAAGGTTGGGCTCTAGGCGACGCAGATGGCCCGGCCCTTGGTGATGGCGCCGATCGTGGAGATGGTGTTGATGAACGTATAGGCGGCGATGACCTAGATGTTTGCATTAATTGCTGTTGTAAAGTATGTGGCGTTGGCGGACCCATTACATTTGGTCCGCCCCCCATACCTCCACCACCTTGCATCATCTGTTGCTGTTGAACACCAGGTAAACCGGCCATTTGTTGTTGCATAGGACCCCCTGTTGGCCCACCAACCCCGCCCGCATTTCCGGCAAAATTACCAGCGCCAGCGAATTGCTGGCCTGCCGCAACAACACTACCCATTTGCTGCGGTGTACGTTGCCGATAGGGTGGAGGATAATTCACTGCCATTTGACGCAATGGAGTAAACCATTGCGTATTCGAAACCTAAAAACAATGAAGAAAATCATTTACAGCATGCAAGAAGATTTACTGACGGCAAACTGGAACATATTAGTCAGTGTAATTTAAAAGTTACACCATCACAAAATAAATTGAATTTTAAATTATATATGAAAAACCCTTAAAAACTTTTCCTTATGCCCAGGATTGGACAAGCACTTAAACAATTACTCTTTCATTATACTTATGTCTTACGATACTTCGAAACGAGTCCATCGCTTACAATACAAATAGTCGCCTTCCGAAACAAATTATTATATACACATATAAAAAATAGATAACAGGAGACAACTTGAGACTCATTGCATGAATGTTGTTGATCTGGATGGGATTGCGCACAAGTTTGGTATGCACAAATTACAATTAAATCCATTAAAAACTAAAGCGATTGCAATAATCCACCCAACTTGGTACTATCCTCCTGCCGTGGGTGTTACTGTTTGCTGCACAGATTGAGATTGTCCATTTAAAAATAACTCTATACTGACAATCGATTAATAAAGATACACCAATATTTTAAGAAAACCTTGGCTTCCGGATCCCTCTGTCTCTGTTGAAACTCAATCGTTTTGTAGTTCCGCTAATATCATATGAATACACGATCATCGTATAATAAAATAAGAGCACGAGAAGTGTGTTCAAGACGCGGACGTATGAAAAAAAGTATCATTGTACTCGTCAATCATTTTGGATAACAATTTACCTACTTACTTAAAAATGATAAATGCATTATTTATTCATGGCGCAATTTGTACTCAGGGATATTTATTTACATGGCCAACTTCATTCAGATCGTTAAATCTAAACGATTTATGATGGAAATACTTGAAATACCCGAACAACATTGCGTCTCCTAAACTTTTTTTTTAATAACATTGTAAAAATATGGAATTCTTTGCCTTTGAGTCTTAAGTCCTTTTGTCAATGTGGATGCGTCATAGGTTTGCTTTTGAAGTTAAAGCTTTCTATAACAATTGCATCAACGCATCACACACTGTAAGATTTATAATATTTTTACTAATATACTGTACGAATTATATCAGTGTACTTTGGGTGCATATATGGGCAATCTGAAGTTTTCAGTTTTCTGAAGCATTAATGGCTTATCCTTTATTATCATGTATTATTGTACTAAAGAGATTCTGTAAGGATAACCGGTTAATCTAAACTGGATTTATAATTGAATGCTTTGTGATTTCATTGAATTTCAAATTATCATTCTAGAGATATAGCGTTTGTTTGCAATTGGCATTGTAAGAAACTCTTACTCTTATTGGTAATAATAGTAATATACTTGTGGCTTATTAATTATCCTACTCTAACTTAGATTTTAAATTTATTCTTGTTTATAAAATAAAAGAATTAAAAACATAATATATATTAATAGACTAATAGCACGCTACTTACTTGTCCCTGTTGTTGCTGCATCATCATAGGATTTTGCATGCTCGGCATTCGTTGATGCTGACCCGTCTGTTGTTGAGTTTGCAGCATAACTTGCTGATTGGCTTGAGGCATTTGCTGTTGATTCATCATATGTTGCATTTGCTGTTGCTGTTGTTGCATAGCTTGCTGCTGTTGATGTTGTTGCTGGGCTTGTTGCTGTTGTTGTGGCCCGTTGCCACCAGCATTTGGATTATTTTTGGTTTGTTTTATAATGGCAGCCATAATTTGCGGATTACGTTTTAAGACGTTCAATATTTGCACATTGGATTCACTGTTGGGATTATTTTTGATCTTTTCCATTATTTGACTAATTTGGTGGGTGTTAAGAGCGGGCGTATTTAATGGACCATTCGTCATTTGACCTGAGTTACCAACGGGTCCGTGCTGGCCACCTTGGGGTCGTATGCTCCCAGGCCCAGACATCGGCTTACCACTCATACCAACCATTCCGGATCCACCCATGCCACCAACACCCGTCACTCCACTAATACCGGCTCCGGCAGTCATTTGTTGAGAGCCACCTGCTCCAACCATTCCCATCATGTTCTAAAAACGTAAAAAAAGCAAAAAAAAAAGGTAAATAGAAATTATTGAAAATGATTATTCCTGCATTTGATCGAAATGAACATTGAATTACTTACCTGTTGTTGCATTGGATTCTGTTGCAATACTTGATTTTGGTTGGGTTGACGCATACCCTGGCTGACATTGTTTGGATATCGATTGCCTCCCCATTGATCCATTGGCAAAAGATTATTACCCATGACATTATTACCACAAGGTCCCATCTGTCCCACGTTATTCATACCGCCAATATTACCAACCGATCCGATCATGCCTGGGTTAGTTTGATTCGAAACCACACCCATATGATGACGCTGCATTATTGGAGGAGCCATAGTGCCACCCTTGCCAAAACCACCACCATGAGGCACTTGTTGGCGGGCAGCTTCTTCTTGAACCTGAATAATTTTGCAACAATTTAAGTTTAATTAATTGCTAATCAATTGTTATTTAATATACGCATACTTGTTTAACAACTTGTAACACATTTGGTGACGGAGAATGGCCACCACCAGGTTTCATACCAATGCCTGGCTGCGGATGCGGCGATGTTATTCCACCGGCCATTGACGTTGAAACGGGTGAAGGCACTGGTACCGTTGACGGGCTCATAGCTCCCGCGCCAGTAGGCATCATTGCTGTTGGTCCTTGCACGACAGACTGATTTCCACCAACCGCAGGCATTCCAATACCAGCTACTGGTACACCACCTAATACTGGGCCGGCACCTCCTGGACCTTGTAAAGGAGGTTGTGGAGCTGTTACGGTTCGAGACATGAGAGCGACACGACGTCGTAGCAATTGTTGTTGCTGCAATCTAAGGATTTCAGAATGGAATTGATTATTAGATTGAATTTAATTACATTATATTAACATTTACATACTTTTGTTGCAACTGCTGTTGCTTTAGTTTATGCTTAATATTCGGACAAAAAGGCACTGGACATTTTTGCTCTTGGCAATGCTTGGCATGATAACAGCACAGTGCAATGAGTTGCTTACATATAGGACAACCACCATTCGTTTTGCGTTTACAATTCTTCGTATGCTGCACGACTCTTTTCATCTTCGTGCAAGAAGGCAGACGGCAATTGGCATCGCGGCATTGGCAAGCATGCACAAGTGATTGTATACAACGTTGTATAGATTGTTTACGAGCTTCTTGAGGATTCGCTTGTTTGAGATCTGCCGGCGACGAACCATCGTCTAAATCGAAACCAAGTTTATCCAATTTATGCGGGTGACCAACTTTTTCCTTACATAGCGCGCACAAATCAAAATCCTAAAAGTAAAAAAAAACAATTCTTATTAAAAAACTGATTGATGTTGGAAAAATTTTGCAAAATCTTACATCGCATATAGTGCAGTGGTAACGAGTTTCTACAGCAGTCTTACAATTATTGCAAGTATACACAAATTTATCTTGACCTTGATTATGTAATTCATATAGCATGCATAATGTAGAAAATTGCGCTCTACGTAGCGATGAAAATTCGTAATGTTTGTCACGGGCTAAAGTAAGAAAAGCATCGCGACCATCCATTAGATCGCAAGCTAATAATGGATCAGGATCTTGTATGGGCTACAAAATTAATAAGAATAAAAAAAAAAATCGTTAAATCTGAGAAAAGGATGGAAGAACGGATAAACGGTACTTACCGCTAAACTGGCGGCTGATTGAGCCGAATGCAATCGAATAACAAAAAATACTTCCTTATGTTTTTCCATAGTCGCATATATCTTCGCCGAAAGATCATTTCCAGCCTGCTGCTCATTTGATTTCTTGTTATTTTTACGCTGAGCCGCTTTTGATTTATTGGATTTTTTGGCTTTCTTCTGACCCTTCTTTTTACCATCGCCGCTAATTTCATTGTCCTCGATTGAAAAGTTCTGCAAATTAAATATTTTATATTATTTTATTAATATCTGTAAATTGACTTTTAATAGGTTTACATACATTTTTAGCAGCAGCCGCTTCTGCCGCCTCGGCCTGCTTCCGTTTTTCTTCCTCTTCTTGATCTAATTCCTTAATACTTTCCTCCATAACATTCGGCCAAAAATCACCTTCAAAGTATGGCAACTCGGCCGCAGATGCTAATTTATCTTCCATGGCTTGTTTAAGAATGTCCTTATAATCCTGAATCGTGCGCTCAATCATTCCCTTGTCTAACATCTTTTTATACCATTCTTGTAAACGTTTCGGTTTCGGTATCCTTTGGTCCGAAGGATGACAATGGAAAATATAATCATCGCCTTCAGATGGAGGGCAAGCCCAAATGTGAGCCATTGTGTATCCCAATTGTTTAACATAGTCCAGGTAGCCAAGGAGAATCTCGTGATAAACCGCTGTGCGATACTGGCGTGGTCTAAAAAAATGCACCGAATCCAAATATGCAATGTACACACGTCGCGTATTCGGCGCCGGGCATTCCGATCCATATTCTTGGACATGCATACCAAAGAAACATACATCAATGCCATCGACTTCTTCGAATGCAAAGAGAGCTTTCGCTCGATAAGGGAATTCAGAAGCCATTTCGCCGTTATCAACGAACCGCCTGCGCATGCCTGGTTTTACTTCCACGCATTTATCGGACGATGAAACTACACGTATATGCACTTCGCCAGCGCCAGCCTCCTTCTTTTTAAGGAAGTTATTAACGCGAGTCTCAATAAAAAGGCCTAGTTTGGTGGTGGGTAGACGCTTCGCGTTAAATTTGTTCTCTTTACGCTTTGAATCTTTTTTCTGTAAGCAAGTATCGCAAACGAAGCCGCCCGGCCAGACCGAATCCAGCCAGAGTACGCAGATTTGATGCTGTTTACGGCCGCACTCTTGGCAGTCAACAAATGGTTCTAATTCTAGATGATCGTTCTTCATCTCTTTAAATTGGTCTTTCTTGATTTGCCTGCCGAAATTGTAAACGCGTTAGTTTAAAATAGAAGAAAATGCATTGAATATATATTTTATACTTACGTTTGTGATTGTAGAGGGTCATCGCCCAACGTGACAGTATCACCTTGTATATCGTTGAAACATTTCTGACAGAAAGTGTATCTATTTGAGGCGACACCATAATCCTTTAGACTTTTGTTCATAATATGTTCATTAATTGTGTTTGGTTTATTTATATATGTTTGTTGTTTAAGTTTTGTGAGAGAGGAGTTTATTTCAGAATGTTTGTGATTGAATCGAAAAGCAAGCAAAACCAGCGTTTATAGCGGCATTAGTTTTAATTCGTGTTTGATATTTATGCGCGCGCGCACGCGTATGCATTTTCGTTTATGAGTTTTAAAATATATTCAGTAAATGATTGCAGCAAATAGTGTACGGAAAGTGAAGAGCGTTACGAATTCGAATTGTACAGATGTTCGAATTATATACACATGTAAATTTTAGAAAGCATTTTAGATGAAACATCATAAAAAGCGAGCGGATTGGGTTGATGACGATCATTTTAGGCATTATTACGTATGATCGAAAATATACAAACATACACATATGCAAACATCAAAGATTAGAAGGATTAACAAATGTTGGAATTTTGTTATTTCGTATTTATTTTAAGACGCACACAAAAACCATAACCAGGACGTGTTTGTTTAATATTAATTGCGGGGAATAGAAGAAAAACAAAAACAAAAAGAATTTCGCATTAGATTTTATATAAATATTTAGTGATTAGTGGGTTTAACATTACAAGCTAAATATATGTAACAATATGTGTTTATTAAGTATTAACAGGTTTCACAACCAACAATACTAAAACAATAAACTAAGGGAACAAAATATAACGTAAAACAGAAACGTAAACGCAACTCCACTTCATTATGATTATCATATATATATATATATATATATATATATATAAATCAAAATCATATCAATAAAGTTGTGTCTATGCGTCTCGATTCTTTGGCAAATTATTAAGGTAGAATAGTGATAATTTTTTAAGGGATCAAGCAAAATCTTGGAAACATACCTGTTTTGGTAACTATAATATTTAGCATCTCTTGGTATAGTACATAGTTGTTTGCCATAGCAGCATAATACTTGAGGATTGAATGTATATTTACGACCACAACAGTAGCCCAGAGCCTGCATAACTGGATCGATTTCTTGCTCAAAGACTTCTGACAGCTGGAATAATGAGAAAAATTAGGCATTTCATTAATTATCTTTCTAAGGCGGAAATAATTATAACACTATTAACTTACTCGAGTGCAATATTTATAAACTCTTGATGATTTGCGATTGTAAAGCCATGCATTGTCGAACATCAGTAACACATCATCTACATATTCCCAAGGTTCGCTATATTTACCGTTCATTAAATTGCTGCGTATGGTACCAAGGTCCATCGGTTTTTTAACAATATCGAAATAATCGGGAATACCGAGCTGTTGTGGATTAACGGGATCGCGGAATGGTACCGAATCAGGTTCATGTTGGTGAAGTTTGTCTAGTGTTGGCAGTAATGCTTGTTTTAATTCCTCTGGATCAAATACTTCAAAAATGCATATAACGTAACATTAAAATATGAAAAAGAACAAAAATTACGATAATTGTTAACGTACCACATTTTTTCTTCTTATCGCCTGCATTAGGTGCAAGGGGTTCTGGTATAATGGGTTTGGGTTCGATTTTTACTTTGATGTCACTACCTGTTCCGCTATTACCGTCCACCAATGGTTTGATATCATCTTTATTGTCTGTGGCAGTTGCAGAAGCACCCAACGATGAATCAACACCAGTTGTATTAGTATGAGATTCGTCGACGTCCATTGGTTCGCTTTTAATTTCTTCGATTTTCAATTCTACTTTAACTGTGCCGTCATTGTTGACATTTTTGCCAACTCCGGCTGACGACTCTTGTTGAGAGTCACATTCGTTGCCATCATCCATAAATTCTTTCTTGATGTCATCTTCTTGCTTAATAGAATCCAATTTACCTTTTGACATTTTACCACCGCCAGCGTTTTGAGAGTCACCGTTGGGCGATGTTGGCGGATCGTCATCGTTGTCACGCGATGCAGCCTCAAGAGCTGCCATCTGAGACGATAAACTACTAGTACTACTTTGGGAGGGTCGTGAGGAAACGATTGATGTACTAGTGGTTGAGGTAGTTGTCGTCCCAGCAGCCCCTCCTTTACCAAGGCACGACACCTGTTGCTGGTTTTGTGCCGCTATTCCAATGGCGGATACAGTTTCTGCAGATGATATTACAGCCGTTCCTGCCGACGCTGCCGCTGAGGTAGAAATTGAGGCGGAAGTTGTGGTAGATACCGTTGATGGTGTACTAACAGATATAGATGATGGAGTTGACGTAAGCGGTGGTTGAATACTCGTAGCTCCAACTATTGACGCCGTAGTAGACGACGTTGGTGAAGCGGGATGGATTGGTGGAGTATTGCCACGATCACCGACTGATTGCATTAATGACGGCACTGATGGCGGATTATTTAATGGAGTTCCTAAAGGACCATTAGAAATAAAATTTGGTGATGGACTAGGCGCCGATACCAGGACACCTACAGATCCACCTCCAACAACTCTGGCATTACTTCCACTTGTCGGTCCCGCACCACTACCAGGTTGTGAATCTATACTCGTGGGTGTGGGTGGCATATTGCCTAACCCTGCCGAATTTATATTTTGCTTTTGTTGCTGTGACATTGGCGAAGTGAATGTGTTTTGTTGCTGTTGTAACTGATTTACGCCATTAAATGGTGATTGTGGCATAAGCATTCCACTCTGCTGCTGTTGCTGATGTAACAACCGTTGCTTCATCATTTCACTTATTTGTTGCGCAGTGTGAGCTCCAGTCCCACCATTGGTATTAATAAACTGCTGCTGTTGACCTGGCACTGGACTAGTGAGAACGGTTGCGACACCTCCCGTACTAGATTGACCTTGCATTGCTTGACCCGTAAATGGGGACAATACTGGGTTGGGAACGACCATGTTTTGTTGTGATGTCGGAATTCCACTTCCCATACTATTATTTCCTGGGCTGGGACCCGGAGGTCCAACGAGCATATTACCCTGTTGGGGTGTAAATTGCATACGCTGCTGTTGTTGCATCGCCAGCATATTTCCACCTGGTGAATGACTACGCATACCTGCCTTATTTTGGCCAGTTTGGCCAGCCATCATACCGCCCACATTACCCAACGTTTGTCCTCTTAATTGCTGTTGCATTATACTTCCTGCGCCAATAGGCATTCCTTGGTTAGGTGCAGCAGCTGCAGGTCCGACTCCACCCATCGAACTGATCATTGGTCTTATCTGCTGCTGCTGCTGCTGTTGTTGTTGTTGTTGTTGTTGCGCTTGCTGTTGAAGGCCGAGATGGCCAGGCGGGAGTTGTGGTTGATTTCCGCCAATAGCAACTCCAGAACCTGCATTTGATAATGAAACATTGCTTGGCCCAGGACCACCAGCTGAAGAATTTTGCTGCTCCTGCTGCTGCATTTCAAGCATCTGTTGCTCTTTCCTTTTATATCGTTTTTCCTCTAGTTCCTTTTGTATTTTGAATATTTTCTCGGCAAGCAATTGATAATATGTTTCACGATCCTTGGCCATTTCGTATATATCTTTCTCAACTTTTTCGGCGTACGATACTAAATTGTGCATGCGTTTATCAAGCATAGTGGCTGGATCAGATGTGGGAAAGATTGCTTGTACAAGTTTATGGACTAGATGATTTCTCAAGTCACTTGTTACCGATTCACGCCAATCTTTTTCATTTTCAGCTCCAGAATTATTATTGCTGCATGAAGGTCCCGTCTGGGAAGTTGACGCCACTCCACCAGTTATGACACTCCCTGTAACTGGTCCGGAAACGTTTCCTATAGCACCAGTTGTTCCCCCATTCCCAGGCACCGCATTGTTTACTGTTGCGTTTGTAACACCTGCTCCGCCTACACCCGCTTGATTTTGCATTTTCATTTTAGCCATTTCTTGTGTTGCTAGTTGTTTGTTTGGTGGTCCCCCCGCACCGGGGCCGCTTATATCGCCAGTGTTTCCGCCACTTAGTTGATTGTTAAAGTTGGAATTGTTAAAATTATGCACATTTACCGATAAGGGAATGTTAGATTGTTGTTGTTGTTGTTGTTGTTGCTGATTAACTGCACCCTGCTGTAGTTGAAATTCTACGGGAACTTTTGCTCCAGGTGCTAACAAGTCGGATAATCTAGGTGTACGTCCTCGTGGTATCTGATTGCTGGCTGCATTACCCTGAATGATCATTTGTTGTTGATGTATCTGTGGATTTTGCATAGTATCTGGTCCCGGGCCGCCCCCAGCACCGCCAATTAACAAATTGTTTACAAGGACATTGTTGCTACCAGTGCTACTTCCTCCACCTATGTTACTAGGTCCACCAATTGGCGCAGACATCACACGTATGGGGGGTACAACTGTCATTCTTTGCATTTGTTGTTGTTGAGCATTAACAGTACTTCCTTGCAACATGTTTGCCGGCACACCAGCATTACCCACTGAGCCTTGCATTCCAACACTTTCGAATCTTCGTAACTCTTGATTTGGATTTGGTGTATTCTGCATTTGTTGTTGATTCATATCTGCGTTGGGCTTCATATTTATTTGTCCCTGATTAGGCCCTGCCCCGGTCATTCCCACAGAACCAGCTACGACATTAGGTCCCCCAGCTCCTTGTTGAAGATTGTTCGCGTTCTGCTGGGAAGCATTTTGTTGGGGACCGACACCGCCTTGCGATTTATCATTAACATTTTGTTGGCCCTGCTGTTGGCGCTGATTAGCATTATTGTTAGAAGCAGCAGCATTTGGATTGTTGTTTGGGAAAGCGTGATTTTGACGGAAAGGATAACAAATAATGCAATCAGTTCGACTACAAGTTTTGTAGTGTAACAGTATTTGCCTTGACGATATGCAATGCTGCACATTACAATCTCTACTTTGCTTACAATTTGCCATATGGGTCAGCACCTCTTGCATGGGTTTGCAATAGGGAACATTGCATTTTTCGCGATTGGGATTTTGGCTTTCGCGACGGGCACATTTGTGTGCATGCAAAAGGAGCATAAGCTGCTGTTGTATTTGCTTTTTTCGTTCGTCACTTAGTTGCTGACTCCCTGATCCGCTAGTCCCACTGCCGCCCGCGGTAGCTGCAGTATTACCCCCTTGTTGTGAAGTTCCCGGTTGCTGCTGTTGCTGCGTTAACATCATTGTGTTCTGCTGCGGCCCTGTCGGCCCTGAGCCCGCTTGTGCTGGTCGTATGCCCAAACCAGCAGTTCCCATCAAGCCAGCTTGTGAATTTGGCTGTTGATTCGGGTTCATTTGTGCTGCGTTTATTTGTTGCTGCTGCTGTTGCTGCTGTTGTTGACCGATTAGGCCAGTATTTGCACCGTCAGTTCCTACAACGGAACCGGCCATGCCAATTGGTACGCCACCTGGTCCACGATTACCTTGTTGCATAGCAGCCGTCATATTAGGTGGCACGCCACCATGCTGTGCTGCCATTTGCTGAGCTAGCATTTGTTGTTGGGGATTGTTTGTATTGACGTTAATGCCACCCTGCGGTCCTCCTGGACCCCCATAATTGCCAACGTTCCCAACCCCAACTCCTCCACCATATGGCCCATTTGGACCAACTCCGCTGCCAACCATGTTGTTCATTTGTCCTAAGGGCAGTCACAAGGATTTCAATGCAATAGTTTATAATTTTAGGCAAATATCACAGTTTGAATGCGTTTCTAGTTTTCAATATTTAAAACCCTTTGATATTTCTAATAATTCATTGACATTAAAACTAAACAAAACTATTGCTACTGCGTTTGTCAAAGTTTTTAGCAGGTTAATTACACAAAATATGAGAATTTATTTAATAAATGAAGTCGTACTCAGAAGAAACTGCCATCTCAAAATTTTGAAGAGGCATATTTCCACAAGAATTCTTATAATTGCTTACAAAAATTTAACAGCAAATACATTGAAGCCCCTTGTCCTTAAAGGTCAATTAATATGTTTATACCAAAAGTTTGGTAAAAAGTAGTACACATGGCTTCTTTGGTAAAAACCTACTTTTCCTTTTGCTACAATTTATTTGCAAAAAATATATGTTAAAACAATTAAATCAGAGATGAAGACAAAAACATTATTGTGGCTTTCGCCTTCAGTGACAATAATGTCTCAAATATTGTCCGAACGGAAGTTCGCATGTAGCCAACTAATTGGAATAAGGTACTGATTGTTCTTCTTTTCTTTTAGAGTAAATTTCATTTTTGTTAACACAGCGTTATAGATTAAGCCACTTACCCATAGCCATTGTGGGATTTTGCATCCGCGGGCCACCGCCAACGCCTCCAGGCCCACTACCTCCCATTATATGAGGATTTGGTCCACGAATCAAATGCGTTTGATTTACCATACGCATCATGGGGCCATTTTGCATCACCTGAGGATGATTAGGTCCACCCATGTGCATATTTTGATTAGGACCACCAACTCCAGGTCCCATATTACCAGGCCCAACACCACCCGGACCTGAACTCATCATATTACCGGGTCCACTGCTGATTGGGGGTTTAATCATACAATTACCACTGCCTGTTATACCAGCCATCCCGCTATTAGTAAGGACCATATTACCCATATTGCTTTGAGCAATTGTGTTCATTGCTTTTTAAAAAATGATAACATAAATTAATTAATGATTACCTAAAATGTCAACATATTAAGAATATCAAGTTTAACCACCTGGCATTGAATTCATTTGCGTGCCATTATTTGAGATAGACATTGGCATCGAGTTGACCATTCCGCCTACATTTACTTGCATGCCACCAGCATTCGGTGACTGTAAATTTGGAGATTTGCTACCAAGTTGATTCATGCCGCCTCCTCCCATGGGATTACCCACCATTCCAGGATTTTTATTCCCCTAAAGAAATAGCATACATAATAAAACATTGAAAAATACAATATTGAATTTTCGCTAAATATACCTGCTGCTGTAATAGATGCTGCAAATGTTGGTGATGGTGCAACTGACGCAATGAAGTACTTCCAGCTCCTGTGGCACCGGAGACATCATCTGTAGAGCCATTCATTTGTGGCTCGTTGCCTGGACCGGGCCCTTGAGCAGGAGGTTTGTTAGGTCCTCCTACTACATTAACACTAAGTCCATGATTAGAGGCGCCGCCGCCACTACCTCCACCAGAACCTGGCCCAGAATTCATTTGATCTCCCCAGCTGTTTGTGAGCACCAGCTCATCAGGGAGGTTTTTCTCAAGTAGAAGGATATCATCCATTTTCACCCGCTTCTGGGGTGGTTCTTCCATGTGATCTGCCATCATTTAAATTACCTTTACAGATATTGGTTGGGGTAAAATGCGTTAATCAATATTTCTAACAATAGTGTTTATATATTTTTGCTTCTTTTAAAACTTAAAGCACAGTTTTCAGCTTTCAAGAAAGTCACTTTTTATACAAGTTTTTCATTTAACTATAAAGTCGTCAAGAAGAAGATAGTAATGAAAGTGGAAGGAACTATTTTTCTCATTTGTGTTTCGGTTTAGATTAGTACCGCAACCAAGGACATTTCACGTCGCTTTGACGTACAGCGTTTTGAATCCTTTTCGAATTCGGATGCTATATGGAAATTTATCCTTTGAAGACTATTCCAAGCCCTCAAAGATATATGCCAGTTAGACACAGAATGATGACTTTGAATATAATTTGCCTGTTGGCAGAAAATGTAAAAGTGATACGGTCGATTCTTTAAATTTCTTTGCTCAAGTTTATTAACTAGAATATTCCCAGCGGCTTTATGAATTTGAGTATCCAACATATAATCTAAAGCATTCTTCTTAACGATTACTCTCGATTGCATTTTGTGTCCACTGATTTATGTTTATTGATTTTCTTCGCACTTTTCACTTGCGACTTCCTTCAGCACTGCAGGTGGCTTAGACTAAGAAATCTGCCACCAGCTTTTTTCGTACATTATGCTGATTGTGTCGAACCATAGAAATAAATAATAATACGTTCATTTATTCATTATTTTTTTGTTATATCTTATCTGTGATGTTTGATTCTTCTGTTTTTTTCGTCTTTTTTGCATTTAGATATTGTTATTTTTCCGTCTGGTTTATATAAAAAATTGCACAAATCTAAAATTGAAAAGCAACACTATTAACATTATAATACACCATCAAAAAAAAAAAAAAAATGTTCACATTCTCTGCAAATAATTCCTGTCTATTTTAATAAGTTATCTTTATGAAGTATTGCGCGCTTTTACATTTTTGTTTTTTTTTCCTTTAACTTCGCCTTTTTATAGAACAACCGAATACGGTACGTATGTATATACATATATTTGAAATATAGGAATAGAAATTATTGTCAAGAAAGTGAACCAGCCACTAACCAATCAACTAGCCAGCCGCTCGTTGATTGCACTTTATTTTGTTGAGAAAACATCTCCATTTATAATCGTCAAATTGACTTTTTATGATTTTATTACTCGCTGGAACATTTCTTCTCTAACCTACACTCATACATTTTATATATACATACACCATCGATGAATTCGTTGCTTTGTTTTGTGCTGCACTACTACTTCAGCAATAACTATACATCGGCTCTATTGTGTTTCGTATAAAGTCAACGAGTGCGAGCAGCAATGAAAAAAGAAAGAAAAACAGACTGGCGACTGTAAAATTTTTGGTCGTTCGTTTTCACGTAGTATCTAATGCACTCACTTTTTTGTTTTAGCTTTTTTATTTATTTTTTTTTTATCTTATAAATTATTTACACTAAAACCGAAATTAGTAAAAAAATCCAATTTTAATTCGAAAAAAATTTAACATAAAACAAAACCTTAGTTTTTATTAATAAACTTTTCTTTTCAGTTGCTTGTTATTTTTTATTTATTTTTTAATTTTTTCTTGAATTTCGGTTTTCATTGATTTATTTTTCACATTTTTTTTCGATTTTTAAGAATTTTTTGAAAGTTTTTTGTAATAGTAAAACAGAAATTTTCAGTCCGTTTATGTTGCAGTAGCGAAAAAGTCAACTGATTTCGCAAACGAGCAGCAACAGAACTAGGAAGAAGACTGAAGCCGAATGCTACTACATAGTCGATAGTGAGTGTTGCCATTACTTCTTATGTTTATTACGGAATATTTTACATTACAACTCTATTCAATATAGGGTAAAAAAACAGTGTTTTGACGTGAACCAACATAAACTTCTTTCCCATCAAAACTACAATTTAATCAAGTTTGCTTAAAAAAAAAAAAAAATTATCTCTATAAGAAAAAGACATATGATGTTTTCATAGTTATTATTACGAGATGTATAAAAACACTTATTATCGTTTACACTACAGGACAGTAAGCTTGATTCTTACATAGGCAAACTGAATTGAACTATTTACTTGATTTTACCCTAAAATCCATATGAATATGGCGTAAGAAGTTGGAATAACGGTAACATTGGTAGCAGCTAAGCAAGTGTAGCAAAAACACTTCGGCTACGTTCGGGTTTTACACACAACAATGAAAACAACGAGTACAAGCACCGAGAGCGAACTAGTACAAGAAAGATTTTTTGTATCAAATAAGAATGAAATTGCTTTTAAACTTAAATTCATAACTAAGTATTATAGCATGAAGTTTTAAGCAAAATGGCAATAACTTTTCCTCCGCGCTTTAGACACTTGTGGGTTCACTATGGAGCTTATTAGAAAATTATTTATTAAGCGTTTGTTTTGCCATCATATTGGATGTTTTTGTTACTAGCATCTTTTTCGCTCACATAAATGCACGAACTAACACACACGCATGCAACAATTCGCTTTGTGCACATGAATTTCTCTACTCGCCCATGAGTACAAAATGAACGAACGACAAAAAAAATTTCAACCATATAGAAAAAGAGAAAATCGGAAAAAAGATTAGTGGAGTTTAGTTTTAAAGCGATGAAATAGTTGCTTCTTTTTTCCACCAAAATTGTTTAATGCGTTAAGATAACATATTTAGAAAATTTTTTGGAACAGGATTTCCACCCATTTATTGCGCTCCACAAAAAAGCACTATACGAGGGAAATTCTTACAGTAATATTTTTATCGAAAATTGTTTACATCTTCACTTATACCGACAGAAAATCTTCACAATATATTATATTTGAAATTTTTTGACGCTATATTAAGTAATTTTCTCTTTTCATTTTCCCGTAATTTTCCTCGTAAGTTTCGAGAGTTTCCACCGCATATTTTTAGTCAATAATTTTTCACATAAATTTCTTCGACCAACACCGAAAATGAAAATGACGCTGAATATAGTGTTGCCAAGAGTAAACCTTTTCCTTCATATTAAAGATAGGATTTGTGTAAAGTAAGATTTAATCATAGACGTGAACAAAGCTGTTCTTGCAATGGGAGTAAAAGGTGCATTTTACAAAAAAGACGTATCTTTAATTTAATTTTTTTAATTACATTTTCATTTATGTTACTTTTAAAATGCAACTTTAGAAGATTTAACTGATATAATTCAGTCAAGCCATCACCACGTCCATGTGTATGTTTCTTGAAATCTTAACTCTGATCATAAAACTTCCTTGGCAGGAAAAAACTCAAATCTTTCTTCACCAATTTTGTCAAATTGAATACACAAATATTTAATAGCAGGATAACAGAGAACGCATCAATTTGTGCTTTTTTTGCGGTCTTAACGTTGTGATTTAAGCAAAAAATTTAAAGGCAAACTTTTCCATGTTATAATTCCTACGTGAAGAGATTGATTAAATTGAACTAATTTTTAGATTAAAATTTCTAACATTTACAGTCACTTCAAGCCACGCTCGGACACTGTATTAAACACATTATTTTGGCAAATTTAGGCAAACTGAAATAATACTGAAATGCTTGTTATTTGATTTTTTGTTGTTTATTTATTAAGCTATCGGAAGCATTAAACAAAACTTCAATTCCTTGTTTTCTAATTGGTATTTTTTGCCAACCCCGCTTCAAGACCTGTTTAATAAAATAAAATAAAAGAAGGCATGTTTTAATTTTGCTTTGCTGGAAACCGTATACTCCTGAACCTTTTTGTTAATAATCTCACAAATTTTCTATTGAGTTTATTTCAGGGCTCAGAGGTGGCGTTTGCAGTCGTTGGGGGCGCCTTACAGCAGCCCAGATCACTTCAAAATCAATGAAACGGACCAAAACAATCCACAAAAGGCCTACAAAAAAATATTTTCAGAAGAAGAATGATTTCTTGTAAAAAATATAAAAGCAAATTCTTTTTCGAGCGGCTCAACCTTGCATCGATAGCTGAAAAAGACTTGGGTAAAAAAGCAAGCGCAGAGACCGACTGTAAAAAAAGGAGATTGATCAATGCTAGTCTGGGACTCATTTTCTGTACCAGGATCAGGATATTTTCATGTGCTTATGGATCAAAATGTGTATTTCGATATGCTAAAGAAAAATTTTCAAAAAAGTATGGATCAATTGTATCTTATTGGCGGCTGGTATTTTTATCAGGGCAATGATCGAAACCACAAAGCCTACGCACAGCCCAAAGAGCGATCTTGGCTACTGTTTAAGGTCTTCCATGACTGGCAACACCATCTCATAGCCTTGACATAAACTCAATAGACGATTTGTGGGCTTATCTTAACAAAGAGGATCGGGAGAACACGATTTCCATCAAAGCAAATTTAAAATATTTTTTAAAGCAAGAATAAGAAAAATACCATTCAACTATTGCAAATAATTAGTCGAATCTATACGAAACAGGTTTAAAATGATTGTAAAGATTATGGCGCTACATAAAAGTATATATATATATATATATATACATTAACTGAAAACAATAATTTCTGACGAAATTTTAGTTAAAGTTTTTTAGTTTGGTTTAATTAAAAAATAATGAATTCAAATTTTGTTTCCTGTTTAGCATAGTTTAGTAAATATAAAATTAAAAAACAAATAACAAGAATTTATGTATTATTTCATTTTTGTCATGTTGACCAATAAAATTTGATTACTACTGTCCGAGTTTGGTTTTGAGGGACTGTGTGCGTTTTCCTATAATGTGACACCATTTGCCACTTAGTTCTTGTATAATTCACAGATCAATAATTGCCGAGACTAAGCATCAAAACCTTTTTTTTTTTTAGTGCAAAATCGGGCATTACTCATTAAAGTATTTTTTTTCAAACGTAAACTTTTTTGTCAAACATTTTGCCACGACCTTGAGAATACGCTTAACATTGCCTTTTGGAATAAGGCTCTTCTCTCTCTCTCTCTCTCTCTCTCTCTCTCTCTCTCTCTCTCTCTCTCTCTCTCTCTTTCTTACAACTTCACTTTTATTCATATTCATTCATCGAAAAATAGGACAACCTCTTTTGGACTTTTACTGCATTTAGGACCGTGGACGTCCATGCAATAGCAAACCATTAGTAAATTATCTTTCTCGACTAAGATAGGTGCTACAATACTTTTTAAGCCAAGGTTAAGTTTCAGCGGGACATTTTCGTATCAAAGCGCACTTTTTAATCAACACAACGAATTCCCGAGTTTTCATTCTTTTGAAAATAATAAAAGGCGCTTCATTTAAATCACTGTAACACGTTAAAAAATGATCGCAATGACATGAAAACTGGACGACCGTTGTTTGAACGTTTAAGTTTTTAAAAATTATATAATTTTTTTTTTTCTAAGACAACATCTAGATGTAAATCCGGAAAATTTGGCGAATCCCGGGAACCATTGACCGATGTATTTTATATATGTTATATATTGCAAACGGTAAAATCTAAAATTCGTTACTATAATTCACGTAACCCTAAACTATTGAATGCTTGCTTTGCTTCAAAATAAGTTAATGACGAATATAATTTCTCTTCCGTATCCTTTGTCTATCGGTTTCTGTTCATAGTAAACTTGGCAAGATTTTAAATAGCTAATAAGAACTTTTGTTGAACACAGAAAACCAAATATTAATTTTTAAATAGATAATTAAATATAAATTTTACTTAGTGAGAAATGCTACAGATTGGCTGTAGTAAGTACTAAGCAAAGTTTAAATTAAAAAAGGAAAGAATAATTAAATTTTTAATATAGGTAATGTAGACACGCTCCCCGTAAGGACTGAAAACAATGAAATTGCAGATATCTTGCGTTGCACTATTGGAGTAAAGTCATATGATTCGGAAAATTGCCTATGCGATAAAAATGCAAACGATCAATTTAAAACCATATGGTATTTGAAATCTTAACCATATGATTTTTGTTTTGCTTTTAGGAATACATTCCTGTTTCCTATGTCAATATAAATGCACGCAAATGCAGCAAAATTTCAAATTTTACCAAACACTTTCATTGCTCGCAATAGTGTAACGTAGGCTGTATGTTCAACTGTACATGATCACATGCCAAAACCAAATTATAGTTTGACAGGTGGTGCTTACTGCAAACTTACACGTTACACATATATATTAAGCCTATTTACTAAGGCTTTTTAAGATTGAATATTTTTTAAGTAAAATTATTTTTATCGCTCATTCTCAGTAAGTACAGCGTGAAATATTTTTCGGACCAAACAAGGAATATTTTTTTTTACTATAAGCTTTGTTTCCATAATATATTTTTTGTTTCTTTTATTTGCATTATGTTCGTTTTGGCTGCCCACTTAAATACCATTTTATTTTTGATTATATTACATGAAAATTGAGAATAAAAATTTATATTTGTCTTGTTCCTACATTTCTCCAAATGCAGAAGTTTCTACTTATAGGAAACACGCATCCTTTGTGACATTATGGT